AACTTGATTGCGGCTCGCTTAAGCCATGCTCCACCGACTACAGTTGTCGACCTTAGTACGAACAAACCGTAGTCTTTAATAAATATTGCATGCACTCTTATTATTTGTATCTTGTTATTTACCCGTCTCTTCGTTCCTTGTTAGGTATGGAGGTACACAAGGCTAAGAAGATCAGGCTCAGGGTGAACAGGAGCAAGGTCGTGGCTGACGCCGCCCAGAGGCAAGAGTCCGGGGTTCCCCCAAAGAGGGTGCCACGACCTCTTATTTTGGGGCCTACTCCTCCTCCAGTTTCTTCAGCTCCCGAGGTTGACATTGCCATTGGAGAGGGTAGCGGAACTGGAGGTTCCTAGATATTCACCGGCAGAGGCTTTGACCATTTTTCTGGTCTGTCGGATAAGTTCATTCTGGAGTGGAATGTTAACATCGACGACAGTGTGTCAGACCGCAGCACCACTGTGGAGATGATGAGCCACATGTTACCCCGCAGAGATAGGGAGGGCCTCCAAGTCGCAACGTCTGAGTGGCTGTCCGATGACGGCTACGAGTACTTGGCCAAGGTAACCAGAACTCCTGTTATTCGTATGTTAGTTCTTCATGTGTTGCCTCCAAAAATTTTCTAAACTTTTTTTATGTCTTTCAGCTCCTTCGCACATACCAGGGCATGGTTGGCAAGATTGCCTATGGGAGCCGGAGGATCCTTGAGCTGAGGGACTTGCTAGCACGTAGCGAGGCCTCTCAGGCGAAGGCTGAGGAGGAGAGCGAACGACATCATACTGAGGTGACACGCCTAAGGGCACTCATTGAGAAGCTCTAACTGAGGATCAGGGGATGGACTCGAGCCTTGAAGAGGCTAACAAGAAGGCGGAGGACGCCAACAAGAAGGCCGAGGACGCTGTTGAGGAGAAATCGGACTATTGGCTCGACGGGTTCGACGCCTGCAGACAGCTCGTTGGCACCCTTGATCCTTCCTTTGACCTCAGTCGTCTTGTTCCCGACTCTGTTGATCCCATGACAGGCGAGGAGGATGCCGACCGCTCAGCTTCTAGAGATGTTTGATTGTGGATGATTTTAGGACTTTGTTTGTTTTGTTGTCACTTCTGGACTTGTGCTCTTTTTTTTTTAATGGTTGTAGACCTTGGTCTTTTGAACTCCCAGCTTATGTAACGTTGTTTTAATCCTTTGTCTTCTAAGAACTGGGTAGTCCCAATTCTAGCTTTGGGTGCTCTTTCACTAGTCTTACAGTAGATCATTCAACCGAGTGACTAGCGTTTTGAAGCTGCAACCGAGGACCAGTAGCAGGGGCAATAGTTCTCTACTGCAATCCTTTTCAAGTTTGATAGCGGCAATGGTTGTCCACTGCGGTTCTATCAATAGAGGTAGTGACAATGGTCGTCCATTGCAATTCTACCGTTTGTTCTAACAATGTCAGAAATCAAAACAAAATGCAACCTTTATTGAAATGGTCTGAGTACGAAGTCTCAACTTGCAAGTCCTACGCTAGAAATAGGGGAAATAAATTAACATAAAAACGACTACTGATAGTACTAGCGCAAATGTTCTGCATTCCAGGACCTTGGTATAGGCTTTCCGTCTAAGTCCTCCAACTTATAAGTGCCTTCTTTCACCGCTGCTCGGACACGGTAAGGGCCATCCCAGTTTGGAGATAACTTGTTATGCCTTTCTTGGTAGTTGAACTGAGCTTTCCTGAGGACAAGCTCTCCTGGTCGATAGTAGCGTGATCGAACGCGACTGTTGTAATACTTGGCCACCCTCTACTGATATGCAGCCATCCTGATCCTTGCCCGGTCTCTGTGCTCCTCGATCAGATCAAGGTTACACCTCAGACCTTCTACATTTTTCTCCACTTCAAAGGTTTCAACCCTGGGACTTGGGATTCCAATCTCTACGGGTATGATCGCCTCAGATCCGAACGTCATGCTAAATGGGCTTTCTCCTGTGGCCGTCCGAGGAGTCGTACGATAAGCCCACAACAATTCTGGAAGAATATCAGCCCATAAACCCTTAGCTTCATCAAGCCTTGTTTTAAAGGCTTGCAAGATAGTCCTGTTTGTGACCTCTGTCTGGCTGTTGGACTGAGGGTATGTCACCGAGGTTCTCCTGAGGTATATAGACAAACCTTTGCAAAACTCTCGGAAACATTGGTTATCAAACTGCTTTCTATTGTTAGTGATGAGTGCTTTTGGGACTCCAAAATGGCACACAATGGACTTCCACGTGAAACCTTGGATCTGCTTCTCAGTGATATGAGCCAAAGGTTCTGCTTCGACCCATTTTGTAAAATAGTCAATGCCCACGATCAGGAACTCCCTTTGCCTAGTGGACTGTGGAAAAGGTCCCAAAATGTCCATGCCCCATATTGCAAATGGCCAAGGGGTGAAGACCGAGGACATGGGAACAACTGGAGAATGGAGGATATTCGCGTGCCTTTGACATTTTTCGCATCTCTTGACGAAGTTCATTGCGTCTTCTCTCAAGGTAGGCCAATAATACCCTTGTCTGATGATGACTTGGGCTAGAGATCTACCCCCCAAGTGATTTCTGCAGACTCCTTCGTGCACCTCTCTTAATGCATAATTAGCCTCATCTGGCCTAAGGCATATAAGGTATGGCATGCTGTACGACCTCTTGTACAAGTGGTTGCCTATGATCGAATACCGGGCTGAGCGTTGAATGAT